GTACTTTATGGACAAGAACACAGTAATGACTCGCAGAGCATAGCAACCACCCTGGGAGGGCCTGTGAGCCATAACAACCAGTTGGCCAATCAACACAGGGCAAGCCCTCCAAGCCTGGAGGCACACCAATCCTGAGCATCTGCGTACCCCTAGACACTCCCCTTACGCTGTCCTATAAGATCTCGGTCCTGTGGCTTCTCAGAGTCTTTGCCAGCCATCCGCCATGGCAGGTTGGTGAAAGACCCGAGCTAACATGGGGTTAGCTCGTTAAATTACTCATGCAGTTTGCAGCAAGCTCTTGAATCTGCCTGGTGATTGGGGTGACCGTGGTGGTGGCCTGGGACCCCGGATACCTGAGATTTCCGGGGATCTAACATGTGTATCTTCAGCATGGAGGAGAAAAGTTGAGCAGCAGTGGCCAGTGCTGATAAAAGAACTTGGTGCTGGGCTGGAGAGATGACTCAGTGGTTTAGAACACCAACTGCTCTTCCAGAGGTCCTGAGTTCAATTCCAGCAACCACATGGTGGCTCACAACCATCCGTTATGAGACCTGGTTCCCTCTTCTGGTGTGCAGATATACATGGAAGCAGAATGTTGTATACATAATAAACAAATAAAATCTTTACAAAATATTAAAAAAAGAACTTGGTGCTGTCTACCAAGGCCTCTCCCGAAGCAGAATGTTGTATACATAATAAACAAATAAAATCTTTAAAAAATAAAAAAAAAGAACTTGGTGCTGTCTGCCAAGGCCTCTCCCTGCTTCTCTGACTGCCTCCCCCCCATCTAGGAAAATGGCCCTGTGATGCACATTGAACTAGGTGACTTGGAAGGTCCTTGGCCAAGCAGGACCAATAAGCCTCTTCTCTAGACGTGTGAAGCAGAATCCCTGGCCAATCTTTTTTGGTTGCTGGTCAGGCCCCACTAATTACATAGTAGGCTTGAGGGACGAGAATGTCATCTTTTGAGCAGAATTCTTTTTCTAATATAAACAGGGTCTAGGGCGGGAGCGTGGCTGGTAGAGTGCTTGCTAAGACACATGAGGCTCTGGGTTCAATCCCTAGCCCCATCCAAATTCCTCCCCAGCCCCACCTGAACTCCTCCCCAGCACCACTCAAACTTGGTATGGTGGTGCACACCTGTCATCTCATCTCTCAGGAGGGAGGCAGTTTAAGGTCATCCTTGGCTACATAGGAAGTTTGAGGCCAGCCTAGGCTACATGAGACCTCCACCTCAAGAGGAAAAAATCAAAGAGAAATAGGTGAAAGAGATATGCAAAGAGAAATGTTGATGAGAGATCTCAAATCCCACACAGCATCCACTTTCCATTTCAGAACCATGAGTTCTTATAAAAAGTGTTTTTTGCACAAGCGGATAGATTTTTCCCTTTAACTGAAGCTGATAGATTTGTATAAGTAGAAGAGCCTGGTAATTTAGTAAGAACTTTCAGGTGCACTATCTCATTTGGGACTCACAATACCCAAACACATAATGAGGCAAATAACTCTGGCTCTTGCTTTACAGCTTAAGAAATAAGGTCCTTGACCTGGGGATTTGTCTTCTTGGCTTCCAGGCACTCCCTGAAGAGATGTCCCTACTATTCAGGAGAAAGAAGAAGACACCAGAATAGAAAGAAAGATCCCAGAAGAGAGGCCCTGTAAGATGAGAGCCATGGGGAGACGTAGAAAGGCTACATGAAGGCAGTGTGGCAACCCAGGCAAACTCGGATGAATACCGCTGCTGGTCTGCCCAGCACGCAGATGAGAGCAACAGAGGGCTGAGTATCATTAGCCCACAGGATCCTGGGAGCATTGCTCACTGTTGCTGTCTCATGCCAATCAGCCAGTCTTTAGGATGGCTGATTACACAACAGATAGTGAAGCAGATGCTAGAGTTCTCTAATAAATAATAATAATAAATATTAACAAATGGAGCTTGACTCAGTCTCCTGACTGATTTCAGTAATTTATTCACTGCTCTAAGATGTGACTGAAATTGGAGAAAAATAATTCAGAAGTTTCATACATGTCATTTACATAATAGAAAATGAATTTTACTTCAGGACTACCAGCTGTGAAATTATCTTGTCGGCATGCAAATGAATTAGAGATATATGTATGTAAATGTGGACAGGTAGGAGAGTGTTATTAAAATGCTGAGCATGGTTACACAATGACTGGATGGTTTTTTTTTCTCCTCTATGCTGAAGGAAATGTTAAAGTCTAGCAAAAGCAGAATACACAACAACAGAAAAAAGAGAAACAACTAAAATAAATAACCCAGTAAGGGAAAGACAGACAAATCATGAAATATTCAAATACAGGAAGAACAAAAAAACTCTAGTTTCATCTCTCTGCATAGGTAAGTCTCAAAACATCAACAACAAAAAGAAGGGGGACAGGCATGTAACCCTGGCACTCAGGAGGCAGAGGCAGGGAGAACAGAAGTTCCAGCTCATCCACACATAGTAAGTGTGAGGCCCACCTGGGATACATGAGACCTCATTTTAAAAACTAAATAATAAATAATAAATAAAATTGCCAGGCATGGTAGTGCATGTCTTTAATCTCAGCACTTGAAAGGCAAAGTAGGTGGGTCTCTGTAAATTCTAGGCCAGCCTAGCCTGTTATACACAGTGAATTCTAGACCAGCAAGGATTACATAGTTAGACCCTGTCTCAAATAAGAATAATTAATAGATAAGATAAAAAGAAGAAAAAGGTCAAGTATAGAGTCGCACGCCTTTAATCCCAGTACTCAGGATGCAGAGCCAGGCCTATCTCTGAGTTCTAGACCAGTCTGATCTACATAGCAAGTTCTAGACCAGCCAAGGATACATTTTAAGACCATGTCTCAAGAAGAAAAGACTTAAAAAAGAGATTAACTATTCAAGAGTTACAACAAGAAAAAAAAAGGCCAAAAGAATGTATGAAACATTTTCAAAATAATGTATCACCACAGAACAGGGCTAGGGAGACGGTTCAGAGGTTATGTGCCTGAATTCAAATTCCCAGCATTCACACAAGAGTTAGGGCTGCTGTATCTATAACACCAGTTCTGGGAGGACAGAAACAAGAGGATCTCCAGGTTCAGTGAGACCTTATCTCAGAAAATAAAGTGAAAAACACAAGGGAGATACCCAACATTGACCTCTGGTCTCCACAAACACCCATGCACATGTGTGCACACACACCCACATAAACACATACATACATTACACACACACACACACACACACACACACACACACACAGGAGAGAGAGAACACAAATAATGGAATTTACATATAAATCTCCAAAATATAAATCTTAGCAACATACTGTTTAGGAATATATGTCCAAGAAAAGCAGTAATTTCCCTTCAAAGAAAGGACAAGCTTGGAGAAAATGGCAAAGATAGCTCTGAAGGCACTGGTCATTTTCACTTCTTAATCTGAACAGGAGATGAATATGTACACTTCAGAACACCCTATGCTATTTGTATGTGATAAGCCGTATTATATATTTTTTCATAATAAGAACACTATTTAAAATATAATCAAAGAATATAGCAAAAGAAAATTAAAAAATTGTCCCTAGCAATGTGTTTATGTAATATACAAAAATCGTGCTCAATAATCTTATTTTAAACTTAAAAACAGTGGCTCATCCCTATACTCCCAGCACTTGGAAGGCTATGGCAAGAGAATCACCATGAGTTCAAAATAAACCTACAAAGTGAGGCCCTGTCACACAAAGAAAGAAGAACAAGGCCAGCGAGATGGCTCAGTGGGTAAACACAAATCTGAAGAGCAGAGTTCCAACCCCTGAACCCACAGTGAAAAGAGGAAACCAACCCCCAAAAGTTGTTCTTGACCTCCACAAGTGCACTGTGGCACACACGTACCAACAGTCACACACACATACACACACACCACACACAAATGTACACACACAATAACCATAAAAGAAACGAAAGAGAACAAAGGAACAAAAGTCACAACAGGCATACTACAGAGATGTAACTGACTTCAGAGGCCAAAGTCTCCTATAGTTCATAATTAATACTCAGGTTATCATCAAAGGATGCAGGTATAATTGTAAACCCATCATTCAGCAGGCACAGGCCAAGCTGGGTTATACTGCAAGCTCCAGGCCAGCCTGGATTAGAGTGAGACCCTGTCTCTGAAAATCAAATGAAGGAGTTAGAAAGATAGCTGGTGGTTAAGAATACTTCCTGGTCTTCTGGTTCCTGGCACCCACATGGGCCTGCTTACAGCTGCCTGTAACTCCAGTTACAGGGGATCAACACTCTCTTCTGGCCACCTGGAGTACCGGCATACATGCAGCATGCATACTCACATACCCGGGAGAAGAGGTATCTGCTCTCCCAGGTGAGGTCCAGGTGAATGACTTAGACTTTCCATCCATTTTCTTGCCTTGGACAGAGGTCCCAGAAAGTACCACACCACACACTAAAAGTCCCTTCCCTGGCAGAGGAGACTGACTCAGCACTAGACACTGACCCAAAGCCAGCCAATCATGTTGTCAGCTGCCCACCTTTGCGGCTTTGTTCTCACTACTTCCCTCATCTCTGTGAACTTGCTGTACCATTCCTTAACAGAACAAACACCCATGCCCAGGGGCTACACTTGTACCGAGTGGCCATGAATTCTGTCTTTTCTTCTAACTGTAAGCTCTGGAAGGGTAGGAAGGGGTCAGTGTGGGCTCACAATTGTGTTAAGCCAGTTAGCACAATCCCTGGTACCAAGTAGGGATTTTGTGAGAATTGTTTTTAACAAAAGAGTAAAACAATTGTAATATTGTGTCTTCTTTTCTCAAAAGCTTCATTCTTATTTCATTAAACTTAAATAGAAATATATTTGCTTTAAGAAGACCCAAAATTAGGGCAAAGGAACCAATATCATAATAGAATCTACATGCAACCTTGAAAAGGACAATGTCACAGAAATGTAATGTCATGTTAAATTTTACAAGTATAAGAAGTTTATAAAAACATACCTGAATGAAGGTGAATTTTCCCGATAACTCCTTCTACCAGTCCCAAACAAATGGGGTTCCAGGCAAGGAGCAGATCAGTGGCTAAAATAAAGTAAGAAGCAATCATGAGAATGCATTTACCAGAAAACATTTTAAACTATCTTTTGCAGAATATTTTAAAAGGATCAACACCCCCCCCAAAAAAAGAAGCAGTTACAAGCATCCCCCACAGAACATATTACCCTAAAGGACTTTGTGGTAGAGCAGTAACTCTGAGGCCTCAGGAAGACCTGGCTATCAGGGCAGTTACGGGCTAAGAGAGGAGGGAGGGCTGGCTGATGGGAGCTCCTACAGTGGAGAAAACAAGCTGCCCACCACAAAGAGGGTAAATGGAAGGACCCACCCAGGGGCTCCAGACCCAAAGAGGCCTGAAAATGGCCATGGAGCTGTCCACTTTCTGATCACACTCTGAAAAACACCTTTCCCCAAAGGGTCATACACTGGGCAAAGGAATCCAGAAAGCCACTTTCCTTATACATGACTTTAGGACAAAACCAACAGGAACTGCTCATTTACTGAGTGCCCCTCATCTGAACCACACAACAGGCTACGGTGATTTGCGTGTAAACTAATACCATTCTAGACATCCAAAAGAGAAGCAAATTACATACAAAACATGTCTAAGGACAGAGGTTATAATTTGACTCTTCTCCAACCAGGATTACAAAGATTGCTACACAAATAGTGATGTTTCTGATAGTTCAACAGCTGAAAAAGATTAGCAAGAATTAATATTCCTGCTGGTTCAGGCCAGCAAGACGGCTGAGAGGGTGGAAGCACTTACCGTGTAAGCAGAGTTTATGCCCAGAACCAATGGTGGAAGGACAGAGCCAACTCCCAAAAGCTGCTCTCTGACCTCACATGTGTGCTCAGGCATACATAAGTTAAAATTTTAAATGTTTCTGCTGACAAAATTTCATTTTACTTATTACCACTTGAATTTTATTTTACTGAAAAAATTATCTGTTACATGCAGGGTAATTATACACTAATAGTTTAGTTTTCAAATTCATTTGCATTTTGAGCTATGTAGCCATGGTTAGCCTTGAACTCATGGTGCTGATAGTCCAGCTTCAGCCCCCCAAAGCCGGACTGTTGTTGTTGTTATTATTTATTTATTTATTTATTTATTTATTTATTTA